CAGATCAGAAATTTCGACCTGCTACAAGACATTTGTTTTGCTCTGTCAGAAGCACTTCTCTTTACCAGTTAACATAAAAACATGGCAATATTGTATTGTTATGCTAAGCATTTAACTTAATTTTACATAAACTAGCAAAAGTTTCGTAAGATCTGCTAACATTTGTCATTTTGTTGTGGTTTATGTCCTACAAGAGCTAAAGAAGTTAAACTTCTATGCTACTGCTATGAGAGATCCTGACTCAGAGAAGAAAAAATGACTAGCAGACATTCATCACCTCGAACAAATCAGTTTAATATGACTACTAACACAGTTATGTGTCTTGCTGAAGAATAGATACAAGAAGCTATTTTATGCAGCAGATTTCCATAGCAAAATTAGAATAGATAAGAACACAAGATCACATTTTTCCCTTGAGTCTAGTATTTTTGACATTTACCTTTAACAGCCTCATGGCACACCTCATCTGAAATGCACGTTATGCGTTTATTGATCTGGGATTTTCCAAAGCTACTTAAGAGTGGTTTGGGAAACTGACTTCTATTGAACTTCAATGACTCTACACATAAAAGAATTAAGAGCTTTAGGAAATGTTATCTTTGTTGTTTCATATTGCAGGAGTAACACAGCACCCAATTACCTTATCCTCTGCTGGTGAAAGAACAATTTAGGTAATATATTAACAATTTGTATGCTTGTAAAACTAGTCTCAGTTAGCAACTGGACAATGAAAAAAACTACTTTAGCATACAATGTGAGACCCAAAAAAAAGTATTTTTGGTTGCTGCCTGTATCTTCCTTCAACTGTAGCTTAGTCACGATTATAGAAGGTGATATTCCCTCAAAATCCCAGAGAAAGATTATCATCAAAAATAATTTCAACATCATATGATAAAGCTCCACCTGCTCAAACTTCTAGAAGTATGGACCATTCAAACTGATTATTTGTTAATGAGAACTGAAATCCTTTCAGTTTATAAATAGCTACAAATAAGTTATCTAAGTGGACTGCATTCAAATATTCATCTGGCTGGCATTTAAGAAAGCTCAAATAAAAAAGGATCAAAAAAATATAGTTGAGGACAATATGAGAAAATTGCAGTCTAATGATGCAGGGTGAATTGTTTTTGAAATTGTATTACTGCTAGAATAATTGAGTATCCAATAGTTTCATGTCTTGATAGTAGTATAATCTGATATTGTAACTCTCTCTTAAGATATTCTTGGTATTCCAGCAAAATTTAGGTTGATAGGCGGCTCTAATGGGCACCTGCATGGTACCAAACTGTAGCCTGGAACATCTCACAAAATGGTATGAAAAGAGTTCTGGGTTTACTTGTGCCAGACACATAAGTCTGCACAGAACAAGCATCAGCAAGTACTACAGCATCCTCCTCTGTTTCGTCCAGACAGTAAGATTCCTCTGTTTTAATAGCAAAGAGACAATAAGACACCTCTTGTACTGGTCATCACAAAACCCATACACAATTAGTATGTACCACTCCAGAAAGAAGCTACAGGAAAAGTAATTTTGTTGCCTCATCTGTTCCACCTTCCTTAGCATGATGCACTCTGACAAAGAACAGTTTGCGAGCACAGGTTAGAAATGAAACATGCAAAGCAGACAAATCCTGAAGCTGATAACACAAAAATTTCTGTGTACTAAACAGATGGAGTCATTTGCAAACAGACCTTTTAAGACTCAGTCTGGTCAGTGGGAGATTGAGAGGCAAACCTGCCAGTAGTATATCAAATCTCTCATTAAGAAGCAGTGTGCAGATTTTTCTCAGGCATCCACAAAGCTGGTTTAGAGAAGAACATGTTAGAGCCTCAACTCTAATGCAACACACACCGGTATCCCAAAATGGCAATGCTGTAAACTAGTGCTTTGATTGAACTTCTGCATTTAAGATATTAGCTATACAAAAGCCTACTACCATTGTTGTTTTTTAAAACTCCATTTCCTTCAACAGTATTTTTGATTCTTTTTGTTTGTCTCAGCAGCATAGCTTAGCAGACGACCCTATAGGCAAAAATAAATAATAAACGGTAATTAGGAGAAAAAAAAAGCTTTAAGAAAGTCCTTTAAACGTCTGTGTCAACCTCCAAACCGTCAGCTATCTACAAAGTCAAGCATGCCTGGCCAGATTCTGGGGCGCCTGATACAGCTCTATTGATTTTAAGTGAGCTTGCTGATTTAGCCTACTAAAGAACCAAGCCTCATCCGATTAGGTTAAGTACATTGATTTTTGAATCCTGACTATTTGCAAAAACTTTATGAACAACTTGGAGAGTTATCACCCCAGGACAGGGTAGAAATTACTTGGTCAAGTATTTTATTAATATCATTTTTAGAAAACAATTTTCTTATGAACAAATCATTAATGGTAAAGCAACAACATTTTTTTCACTAAATTATTTATTCTGAATTACTGAACCAGGTCCTTTGGTATTAAAAAAAGCATCAGCTCCAGCGAGAGCAGAATGAATTACAGTTGGTAAGAAAAAGAGAGAACACATGTAGATGCTGCAGGGAATCACTTCTGCTTTTACAAAGCTATTGCTGAGATGATTTGGTAGAAGCTGAGAAGTGGAAGGGAGATAGATGCTGTGTTTTGACTCAGAAGAACACAGGCCATGACAAAAAGCTCAATTACCTTTGTCCAAAGCTAAGGAACCCTTGCCAGCATTAAGTCCTACTCCAGCTTCTGCCAACACAATGGCTGAATACAATATTAACTGTCACCTTTTTCTCCTTTCTATTCCAGTCCTAGATCTCTCTCCCCCTTTATTTTTAATTAAGGTAGTAAAGGGGGCAAGATAGCATGATTCCAGGCAGATTCTTGGGAAAAATTGTTTGTGCAACGATACCCCGTGTTTGTACGGACCAGTGGATTTCAAGGTATTTCAAGGTATACTTCAAATCCTAGTTAAAATGCCAGTAGGAGAGAGAAAACAAAGATATTTTGTTCCTATGAGTTTTCTGCAAATAAATGGTTGAGATGAGACTAATAAGACTTTTCATATTCTCACCATGGGAAACGCTGCAGCGTGAGAATTTCTCTCTTTTTAGACACCTTGACATCCTCATGGGAGAGAGGCAAAGAAATTCCACTTGCAGGAGAAGCTTTGATCGATGTTTGCATGTTATTAGAACCCAGAAAACCCTATTGCTAGTCACAAATCTGCAGAAAAATCAATCAAACTTCATTTGTTTATGGCTACAGGAACCGCACGCAACATCTGTCAGGCCACACCAAATAATTTACCTTACGTAAGTCATCAAGGAGCTGAGAAATAGAGGCTGTATTCATCTATAAACAAACAGACAGAAAATGCACTAAAGCTGGAAAGTTCCTGGCATTAACACCACAGAGTTATCAAATATCTCATAAGGGTATTTTAAGGTGGTTTGTAACTCCTTGCAGAGTGATACAAAAGGTCAGCATGAAAATTAAGGAATACGATATTCATCTCCAGTGAGAAGCAACCTACCTGATGAAGCTGGAGTACAGAAAAGCAACAATGCTAATGTCAACTTTGGACTTTGGACAGTATAAGCATTGCAACCTACAGAAATTGTTAGTGTTTGCAAAGGAAAACTTGTTTCCAAAAGGATCCAACTGGCTGATGTCAAAAGATAGCAGGCTTGTTTTCCCACTTCAATTCCCTTTCTTCTAGTTATCAATAAACTTCAGAGGTTATGTTTTTAACCCACTGTAATTTTGAATGGCTTTACTTAACACATATCTTATGATCCAGTACAATAAGCATGCAGAGTTCTTGGGAGGGAAATAACCAGAAATCTAGCAGCAGCTGGATACAAAACTATATGCAGAACACCTGGAAGCAAAATAAAACCTGTGCTTGTGACAATTTCCATGCTCTTATCGTAGTCTTCATTAGAAAACTGAAAGATTTTCAACTGTCAATACGCTATGCTCCAATGTCATCTTTACAGATATCAGCTTAAAGACAACAGTGACCGATCAGCAGCACGAAAATAAAATCCTGAGTACACCTGAGGCTTTCAAATGCAACATTTTGTTTTTAAAAATCCCCAGAAGTTTCACAAGCACTTCAGAGCACCCTCACCTCAACCCCAGAAGCAATTTCCCTATCAATTTCAGAAACAAATGGTGAAAGGTTGCAATCGACTGTGCAATATTTGCCAACCAGAAATGCTTCGCAGACATCTCAGCTTTTCTGTCCCTCGTGTTAAAGATCAGGCTCTTAAACACTGTCTGATGTTCAATTTTTTTCTTTCATTTTAATAGTAAACTACAATTCTAGCCTTTTTGATTGCAAGCATTGCTTTGATGCAAAATACATGTTTCTTCTCTCACATTAAGTGATTATTCTGCGGATAAAATCAGGAAATTCCCTCATTTTCCCCAGAAAGCAAGAAACATATTAAGATTTAATATCACCTCATCAGTAGTCTACAAGGCGGATAAGAAAAACAGTCTTTAAGGTTGTTGCTCTGGTCTGCAGAAGCTCTTAGCCACATTAAAAAAAATAATCATAAAAAAGACCTTTTATTATAATTAACATGTTTTATTCAAGCTTTCTCTCCTTTTATTCTTCTCTCCTCATAGTTTTTACATCTGCTTTCATTTCTCCCTTTGATGTTTATACGCTCTTCATACTTTTATGGAAAACACTCTGCACTACTTACTTCCATCCAGCCATTCCTCTTTTCAGAGCACATTTTTCCTCATGCTTGACTTTGCCTCTGCCCTCTACAGCTCAGTGAGAGCATAGGGAACATATCCTCTGGTGACAGTGTTCAATTTAAGGTGGCACATGAACAAAACACTTGTTTCTTTCAGCTCTCACCTAGATACTGGAAGTAATGTGTTTTCTTGATAGAAAAAAAAATTATTAATTAAAAAATAGAAGCAGAGCCTATGCCTGTTATACAGTTACTGCAAATACAAACTATACCTTTAAAGGGAGAATAAAATAAAGGTGAGAAAATTGGCACTTTCTTTACTTACATGTGTCTACAGACTCATCTGAATCATCGGGGCAGTCAGGTTCTCCATCACACAGCCAGTGCTGGGAGACACAAGTCATGCGATCACGGCACAGAAACTCTCCTACATCACATAACTGATGTTCCTCTGAAAACAAGAATGTTTTAGAATGAGGTAAATAAAAAAAAAAGTGGAGGAAAATAAAGTGACACAATGAAAATTAAAAGTGGAAAATATAGTGAAATATTGATATTGAAATCAGGCATCAAAACAATGAACGGAAACAGTGTGAAACAATTATTTGATGAGGTGTCTAATGGCAGTGACCTTACTCAGGCTGGATAGCCCTAAAATTTTGGTACATCCCATAATAATTCCAATCAGACATGAAGAGGATTAGCATCAACTATTTCTACGATGAAGAACGTTAAGAATTCCTACTCTTCAGCTCTTTCACTATTAAGTAAATTTCTTAAATAGATAAATTCAACAACCTTTAATTTCATGCTTTCATTTTTGAAGCCTGGCACACACAACGTATTGCCTGACTTCAACCATCAAAATCTGATATCCTTGAGATATGGAAGACTCAATTAACACAAAATTACTCCATCATTAACTAACTACTCTGTCATTAATTAAAACTCACAAAGCCTCCATGCAATATATCTTATATTCAATTTCTTGATGCATTAATTGGTTTAGATCTGTCCACAGCATTGCAACTGTAGATCACTGGAAAGGCTCCTTACAGATAGAACAGAGAAGCAACTTCATTGGAGTCAATACTGTTACAGAGATAGAAAAATGAATATATAAAAAAGAAAGAACTAAACTTAATTCCACCCATAGATCTACTCACAAGCTCAGTTCACAACAACAAAAAAAAAAAAAATGGATATTGTTACATGTTACTAATCACTGCTAGCATACCTCAAGTCATTGTCCTCTTAGTCTGCTAGCTCCACCAACTTTTAGACTGATTTGCTCCCATGCAAGACCAGCTTTGCTACAGCCTGTGATTAAATGCTTCGAATTATCCAAAGCCTTACTACACTCATTTCTTAGCTCTGTCAATTAGCAATTAGCATTATAACAAACACCCAGTGTTCCTTCAAATAACTCAGCTGGCTTTCTACAAGGAAAAGAGAACATTTTCCAGACAAAATATACAGACTGCATTCTCTAATCCTTTGAAGATATGTTTCTAAGCACGCTTGTATAGCTGACTCTAAGCTTCAAAAGAAAAGTTATAGCACAGTTCTTGGGACTTTAGGAAAGAACTAAGAATATTTTGTTAAAATTAACCCATTCATTTCCTATACATACATCTCATTTTTAATGTCAGCCTATAAATCTATCAAGGGATATAATTTCAAATGAGTCAAAGCTGCAACTCTAAGGTAGATACCATTTGTATTACTTAATATGGCTACTTAATGGCTTCCGTAACTCTATGGGAATTTGCATTTACAGTAAGGAGCTCCATTATGTTCATCTTTGTACAAAACAAATGACTGCATAAGCAGAAAGTTTACATGCTCAAGGAAGCAGTTTTGCGTCCATGTCTCAGGGAGATGCTTAAGGCTTCTGCTTTGAAAGCTCGTCTTGAAAAAGTTGCTGGAAGTAAGAAAGAGGGAAGGAGTTCTAGCATTTCATGTTGCTCCATAACTTTGAAAAGATCTACATGAATATTTTTAAAGTATATTCATAATACTGTTTAAAAATCCATGGTAAAGCTGTTTATCTCTGGAAGCCTTGTAGTACAATGTGAATGGTCAGCACTACATGATACTTCCTAACAGACAATGAAAAGTTGTTGCAGTTGGCATAGAATGGAATGGGTTAGAAGGGATCCCAAAGATCATCAAGCTGCAACTCCTCCACTGCAGGCAGGGCTGATCTACCATGGCACCATATTTATAGCTCTCAAGAATTATATTCTTTTCCCTCAAGTGGGCACTTGGGTGGTCCTAAGTATTAGATCAGTGGATTTATTCAAATGCTCACAGTATTCAGTAACTTTGAATGAAGTTGAATTAAGGTTGATAAAAATCAATCTTTTTCTTCTCCTAAACTGATAGCTAAGTGGAGGAAAAAAATCTGCTGCCAAATCAACATAAAAACTTCAAATTCCTGAAAACATTTCACAATCGAGTTTACACACCCAATTATCTAAATGCAAAATTCCTATCCAAAAAGAAATTTCATTTCTTTTTTAATTCCTAACTGGTAATAATTGACTAGAAGGAGAAATCAATGCTGTCATTTATGCTGAAATGTAATACTCCAAGTCTAATTACACTGTGCAGCAAGCAGAGCCTCAGCATTGAGAAAAATCACATCTGAAGGTGATGAACTTCAGAATAGCTGTTTAAGTTTGTAAACAAACCTTACAGTGATACTAAAAAAGGGAATTCTGGAAATTAGGAACAAGGTCTGTATTAAATCCTGCCCATAACTCCTGTGGCCATCACTGAAGAAAAGTTGGCATTAAGGGAAAAAAACCACTCCATTGGATGTGGCAAATATGAAATGGAATGACACCCAGTACGGCCATGCTGCCATTAATTTAAAAGCCCTTCTCCTCTGCATCGTTCCATCATGCTTTATACTTTTATCTGTAATAAAATACCTTTTCACTACTCAGTGTCAGCTGCCAGTCAAAACATACCCAAACAGCAAAACAGAAAAACTCAGAACATTATGTGCCCAAGTGAATAGCATTCAAATGAGGAAATATATGGAAATGGGACATATCCTATCACTGTTCTCAAGGGTAATGAAAGTTTGACACAAAAAAAATGGTAAGACTGCTGATGGGAAGAGGTTTTTTTATGTATTTGTATGAGGAACAGCAGCCAGCAAGCACTGGTGTAGGTGATTATCCCACAACTTTAGAGTACCAGGTTGCCCTAACGCTGCAAATGGTCACTTATGACTGCATAAATAAATACCATCTTGTTTTGGATAAAGATTACAAAAAGTGCCGAACTTGAAGTAAATAAGACTTAAAAAGCTATTTCATACATAGTTCAGATATAGGCAATGTGCTTGGAGAAAGAGCTTGTTTGCAATTTTTTTTTCCCCACTATTTGAAACAATTTAACTACTTCCACACAATTAAACTTTTTGTATTTATTCTATTCAAGACTAAAGAAATTACGGGCAGATAAGCCTTTCATATCCTCTATCTACAGATAAACCCAGCAGAATGAGAAGAAATACTAACTTATAAAAAACACTTTGAAAAACAGATCATACTTTGAAAAAGCAGCTTAATATTAGCTCAGGGTTTTATTGGCTCTGAAAATCTTTTTCAAACTGTTTTCTTTTGCATATCTATAGAATTATCGCTTATTTTCAGCTGCTATCTTTGAATAATGAATTGGACTAGTTAATCATAAATATGCTGTAATTGGAGTTCTTTTGGGAAAAAAAAAGAAAAATACATTCTAAAAAATGGGCATCTAAGATGGCCTTATTTCTCAACAGAAGAAAACAGTGATTTTCAGTGGCACCTCTCTGCACACAGTTTCCTTCTGTATCATGTGTACTGAGCTGGCAGCTCAGTGTGGATGAGAAAATTCACATATTTTTAACATACCAATTCAGAGATATAGAGCAGATGGTTAGAAATCATCTCTCTACGGGTAAATGAATGCTTTGTCTCCCAAAGGACAGCACTCCTACCCTTGGCTGCAAACACCTGGCAATGCCTCTTAAGAAGGAAAGTTTCACCAAAAAATATCCAACAGTCAGTGTTTCTAGATAGAAAAAAAAGCAGTCTGTCAAAAGACATGCAACAGGCTTAACAGGACAAAGCTCTAAATCTCCATTAGGAAGCTAATTACATGTGCATAATTACAGTAAAGCTGGAAAAAAAAATAATTTGGGATTAGATTTATCAATACTTGCACTTTCCAAAGGTTTGCCCATTCCTATCTGCAGCACACTGCAGGTCATCAGGGATCTTAACAAGGACTATACAGGAGATAGTGTCTATGTAATCGAGTGCTACTTTAGTTCTACAGCAAGAATAAATGATTCACTGTGAATCTGATTAGTATCTGCTTTTATCAAAGATCCAGGCACTGTGACAGTGCACTCCTTGCCCTCCCGCTGGTGTCCTGGGACTGATACCAATCAAGGTTTCACCTGAGACAGTTAATGAGCATCATATTCTCTCAAACTGGGTGCTCAGAGACCTGATAACAGGCACTTAGTTCAATAGATCCAGTTTTAAGTTGCACAACTACAAGTCAATCATCTTACCCTACAAACAGCAAGCAGCCTAAGAACCCCCAGGAGAATAGTCCCAGCAAGCAGCTGGCTGCACACCTGGATCTCCCCCTGAGTAGAAATACCTCTTGAAGTTACTCAGCACCTGTGCACATTCACCCAGGATATGTTGATACCTTGCCGACAGATCTGCAGTAAGGGATTGCTTGTTTTTAAGCTATACTAGCTTTGAACTTAGATTTGTTATGCACACCCACCCTCTGTGTACCAAATAGTCAAGGATATCAAGCCATTTTAAACTGTATTAAGTCACTGTCATCATTGTTTAAATTATATCTGTTTTATTTAAATGTATTTCTGCCTTCCTCTTATGAACAAAGCATGCAGTGCTTTAGTCTCCATCCGTGATTCCTCAGATGGGAGCTGCTCCTTGTGCTGTCCTCAGAATGCCTCAATCCCCATCTGCTGAGAACACCCAAGAGTCCCCAAAAAACCAAATCTCCCATATGGCAACATTCTTCTAAGTGGGGAAAAAAAAAAAAAAAAATCAACAAAAATAATCAACCTAGCAGCCTTGATTTATTATAGAAGGAAGCTTGCTCATTAAGCTTTCACTACGTATTCATAAAAATAACACGTGGTAACTAATCCAAAAATATATATTCAAACACAAGCTTCTTACTGACACGATACGCCAGCAAATAAAGGAATGACTAAGGGGAAAAAAGATCATGTCTAAAATGTTTTGTAAAACAAACTTAAACTAACTTGAAGTTAGAATATTTTACGAATTCAATGTTGTGAATTTCGGTACCAAAAAAAAAAAATTATCTTTCCTATGATACAAATAAAATTTGGCGATGGAAAAATTGAGAAAAGAAGAATGCCACCACATCTTGCCATCC